TATGTGATTATCTGAGGTGATAGATAACACACAGGCTGCCGCTGTCTTTGAGAACTACCGTCGCAGTCATTAACTAATATAGTATGTATATTATTATATATGTGATATGTAATATTACAAATGTAAAATATTATATGTATATGTAACTACATACATATATCCGCACTATTAACAGTCTAAAGCCCATCGAAAACGGTAGACGCTACAGGGTTCGACTTTGAAAAGACGCAAGAAGTCTTGAACGATTTAAATATGTATACAAACTAGCGCACCCGACATACGTTGTCCTGTGAATACATACACAAAAATTCATTCACATCGGTCCAGCCGTTTAGGAGTTTAGTGACGTCCAGTCACACGTACAGTTGAAGTATATATATGTTAACGGAAATGTATGTAATCCGTCATTGTATACAATTCCTAGGAATTGTATGTAATTCCTAAAATCGCACGGAAATGTGTGAAATAAATTATATTATACTTACACATTACACATTTCCTAGGAAATCTATACATTTCCTAAATAGCAATCGGAAATGTAAAACATTTAAGATATTGGTGGGTACGCGGGGACAGCGGGACGAGTCTTGCACTACGGTCAGTTGCCAACTTGCAATCCACTGGAACCGGCCAGGGATTTAAGAAGTGCCTTTGCAAGAAAAACTGTGCTACATCAAGATGTCTGTGTTTTAAAAATAAAGTATTATGTACTTCCAAATGCCATTCGAGCTTACCCTGCAAAAATAAATAGCTATATGGACTGACAAAGTATTATAATATAAAGATTTACTTTTATACTTTGACATTTATAATTACTTAATTATCAGACTGATTACTTGCCAAATGAAAATTTGATTTTATAAGAATAAATATAAGTTGATTTTGTGATACGTTAAAAGTTAATAGATAGTTGATTTTAGAAGTTTTTATTAGTAAGATAATATGAATATATTATTATTATTTTACGGTATGACTGTTACCCGATTGTCTCAATAAGCGTTATATTAAAAAAATATTATTAACAACGTGTTTTATTACAGAAAGCATTTACTTTATACATTTTCTAATACGATATTGGAATTATATACAATTCCGAAGAAATTTATACATTTCCTAGGATATCTATGCTTTAAATAGTTTTTCAAACAATATTTTATACATTTCCTAAATAGTATCGGAATTGTACACATTTCCTAGGATTTGTATACAATTCCTTGATTTCATACATTTCCGGTAACATATATAAAGATATTAATAAACCAGTCGAACCAATTTCTGAAGAAATTTGAAAAATTGAAGCAAAAATTTAAAAATAAAGAAGATGTAATTAAGGAAAATTAAAGAAACCCAACGACTGTTTGAATTATGTTCTTTCTGTTTGTTTGTTCGCATAATGTAAAAAAAGTAATTTTGTACTGCATGATATTAGAAGTTACATTGCAAACGGTATTATTAATACGAAGGTAGCTTTGCTTGTCACATCTTCACGCTTTGACAAAATTAGGAAGACCTTCGAAATATTTAGGGTATATTTTAACCCACTTCTGAGTACGGATCTCCGCCCATGTTATATAAAGTATAGTCCACGCAGATTAAGAAGTAGCCGGAAAGCTAGACGTAATATAATTGGAATTGTTTGAGATGATTCCATCATCTCGTTTTTACCATCGCACGGCCCGCCACCGGAGTAGAGTTCATTCATATTACCTGGAGCCACTTCGTTCATCCATAGTGCGTTTCCAGAGATATTTTTTGCCACATACCATCCGGCTTTTGAATGACCTTCCCCTCCACGGTGTTTCCCAAGCGCTATGACATGTCCTTCTTCAAACGAGGCTTGTGGACAGTATTTCACGGTAGGCAGCGGCTTGGCTCTGCCCCTGGCATTGCTGAAGTCCATGGGCGACAGTAACCACTCACCATCAGGTAGGCCGTATGATCGTCTGCCTACAAGGGCAATAGAAATTATTACCGACCTATCCGTGAAAGTCGGAACCTACGAATAACTAATAAGTCTATTCGCAGGTCGGAACGCATAATTGGTGTGTGACAGAATTGGTCTGTTCAGTTATTACACCATGGCTTCCAATATACTAAATAGATCCACCCTCCGTAAATAAGCTGGCGTCGCGTTTTAATCAACGAAGCTTTAGTAATAAATAAAATATAAAAAAATCTTGTTCGAAGAAATAATTATAGTCCGCTCATAAATTTGAAATAAATTGGGTCTTTATATTTTCGATGGCACTTGAGATTTTTTTCTTTAGTGTGGAAATGACGACTTCATTTGGTTGTATTGTTCGCATTGCATCATTATTCGCGAGACTCGGTAGCTGTGTGAGATCACGAATAACGCATTCATAGTTTTGTAACTTAACAGTTTCGTATGAATCGACTAACACATTTTCCACATTAAGTATTTCCATGACAAGAACGAACATTGCCCTTTACGTACATTCCAAATAACTTTTCATAAAGTATCCATATAAAAAGCCACAGATAATGTAACGAGAACGATCAAAGCGATTCCGGGGACCCGTTTTTTGTTGGTATCCCCATTCTTTAGGCTTCAAAGAAGGCGTATATTTACGAGGGCTTGTTATCTATGTATACTGATGCGAACCTTGTTAACTTTTACATTTTCCCGGAGATCGACGGGACGATAGTCAATGTGATGTCTAAATTGTATAGGATTACTCGTTGATGATTTACCTAAGCGATAGCTATTTAAAATAGAGGTATACTTTTGCGTGCTCAGAATGAATAAAAATTGAGTAATGTTTTTTTTGTCATGGTAATCAAAACAATGATCAAAATTAAGAGCAAAAGGGAGGAAATGAAACTGGGAGTTATAAACTGCAATGAAGTAAATGAAAATTTCAAAGGTTGGGTCGTTTTATCAGCTTCATGGAACAACAAAATATTGGTGATTCTATTTTGTGAAGCCAAAGAAATAGGGATCCTACTCAGTATGCTACTCAGTCTCATAGAAATAGCAACGTCTTCTATTTCTCGATAATTAATGTGCAAATGATCTTTTATTTTCGACGTCGGCTTTGCAGCCTAGTACAGTAGTGTTTGTTATAAGTTGGTGATATTTTTACATGGCTTGGATTGTTTTTTATTTGGCATGCAGGTGCTCAAAGCTTCACTTTTTAAGGAATCAACAGACATGAAATCGAAGTTACAGCCGAAACAAAAGTAACCTTACCATGTAAACTGGAATGCAACACCGTGTTCTGAAATATAGTATCAGCGCGTCCAATTTAACAATACGCCTAACCAGCTACGCAAAAAACATAGGAGTTTAGTTTTACATAACGATATTTATTCATAGTTTAGCTGTTCATGGACATACGTAATTAAAACACTAGCTTACAAAAAATATCCCTCTACTTTGAAACGCGGATGTGTAGACGTAGAAGACTACTTCGTCACCTTCTTCGGTCATGGACTTATCAAAATAAAAATTGTCTAAACAATAGTCAAATAATGTAGATTCAAGAAAATAGCCCATGTAATATTTTTTTTAAATCATTCAAAGAGGAAAGTATTCATAGCTTGCAGTGCCTTTTTTATTAGCTATGGATGGATGTTGAGATTTTGCTTCTGCATATTTTTATGCTATATTCATATACTGGAAAATTATCTCGTCCATTCATCAAAGCAGTTTTTTTTTTCTTTTTCTTGAAACGAATATTAACGGGCTCTTCGCAAAATTTCCCACGTAGAATCCATAATTACTTTAGCTTAATCATTTGATCAACGGCGGCGCCATTAAATTTGTCGAAGCCAAAGGAAGGCGGGCCGCGGTTTTCCTCGTTAATTCACGACGCTCGACTTTGACCGCCTCCGATAATTTATTTATTCGTTCGGACGTTTCACAACTTATTTTCTTAATTAAAACTTTTTCTTTTTTTTTAAATAATACATCTTATCGTGGCTTCGTCGCGAAGTCTGATCTGATTGGATAGATTGAATTTCGTGTTTTGAAAGGCATCTTGATGAGTTTAATGAAAGATGACAGTTTAATTGTTTTTCTGCTGTTTTCACCCCAACACTAAGTCTGTATAAGGCTACAATCGGGGGATTGAATTGTTATTTTGTATACTATTCTTCGTGATGTCGCTAGATGGGCTTGGCACTGCTTTGTCAACATCACAACGCTAACGCAGTTTTTTATCTTGATTTTTGAGGTTATATCATATTTTGCATTAATACATATAATTAAGTATAAATCTAGTATAAATGTTTGAAGTGAGAAGAAACATTATGTACTTATTGCTTTAGTGTAGTCGTGCCCCGTTGACTGACTGATGCAATTACCTAATTTCTCAATTAAAATATTTCAAAAAAGTACCAATTATTCTCGCGAAATACTTACTGTGTACACCCACACGTTCACGAACTGCTTCTGCGAAGAGGCTTTCAGGTGTCGGGCAGCACTACACTACAATTGATATTTCGATTTCATATCCAATTGTAATCACGTTGTAATTAATGTCCATCTATGGACTTCAGTAATCATTTGTATATATCCAATTTAAAAATGCCAATAACGATTAAACGCGAAATGCTCCGTAATCCGATCCATTTAAATATAGAACAGTTGATTAACAAAAAAGTAGTTCAAGATTATGTAGATTTACTGGTGGTAGGACCTCTTATGAGATCGCGCGGGTAGGTACCACCGCCCTGCCTATTTCTACCGTGAAGCAGTAATGCGTTTCGATTCGAGGGGTGGGGTAGCCGTTGTAGCTATACTTGAGACCTTAGAACTTATATCTCAAGATGGGTGGCGCATTTACGTTGTTAATGTCTATGGGCTCCAGTAACCACTTAACACCAGGTGGGCTGTGAGCTCGTCCACCCATCTAAGCAATAAAAAAATATGTAGATTAGTATTCAATTCAGATTAGTGTTTTAAATAAATTAGTGTCAGAAACACAATACCCTTCAAACCCTTCATTTAACTAAGAACACTAATGATTCGTATAAATTCAATCGGTCGCTAACTCAGGAACATGATTTACATGAGAGTACTTCAGTCCGTACATAAATGAGTGGGACGCTTCATTAGAACGCGATCGTTTTGTTAATGTATTCACGATTGACTGATTTTCATTGAAGTCCTCGAGGATTCCTAGCTGAATTGCGATTTAATCTTATTCATGATTCATAACTCAAGAATCGAGTCATTAAACAGAGCGCTATGACATGTCCTTCTTCAAACGAGGCTTGTGCAGAGTACTTAACGGTAGGCAGCGGCTTGGCACTGTTTCTGGCATTGCTGAAGTCCATGGGCGATGGTGACCTATTATCGCCAGGTGGCCCCTATGCTTATCTGCCTACAGGGCAATAAAAAATTAAAAATTAAATAAAATTGTTCGTCAATCAAAGAACCGAAGAGAACTGGCTTCAAATATTGTAGTGATAATTAAAATATATTGTAATAAAATGTGAAATGCCGCTAATGTGTTGTGGGTCTGCAAGAACTATTACCGTTGGATTTGTCGTGATGTAAGGAATACCACGTTTCTTTCTGAATAGTGGAGAAATATATTTAAACTAATGCACTATTGTGATTTTTACGGGCTTCAGAGGCCTTAAGAATAGGTTTTATTTTTCAACAGCCTATTTATTAAAAATAAACGATATTCATTAAAATTTGATTCAAATGGCTTCTTTAAAACTGAAAATTATCAACGCTGCCAAATCGACAATTTAAGTAAATAAGCAAAATGATTTTATGAAAAACTAGTAATGTCATGATGGCATGTAGTCCATGTTAAATCAGCAATGTGAAATCGTTAAATATTGCACGCAATGAAGCACAAAAAAAAATCCTGTGTTCAATAGAACCGCTCAGGTCCGAGAAGTTGGGGCCTCGCCGCAAGGCGAGTGTTTTCAAGACCCGGGGCCGCCCCACCTGGGCACTCAGCGATCATGGACGCTGTATTCGCGGAATTCCTCCGACTTCGCCACCCACAGCTCGCCTCAGAGTTTCTGGCCTTCAAGGCCGATCACACCGCGAGCCCTCTCGTGGACTCCGCNGTAAAGTAGATGGGAAAAGACCTCGGGGGCGCAGCCCAATACGTTGGTCCGACCAGATCCGCACCGCTCTTGATTCCACGTTTCACAACGCCCTCCACACCGCCAGAGACAAGAATGGATGGAGAAAAATCGTGCGTGCGAAGGTGATACAAAAGGGTGGTCACGACCCTCAGCAATGAGGAATACGACGCAAGGAGGAGGATTACAATTATATGACTAAATATAATATATAGAAAACTTGATTTTCATTTAAACCTTAATCTAGTCTCTTATTTGAATTTTTCTTATTTTCTGCAGATCTGTTTGCCAATCGACAAAGGCCTCATCAAACCTTTTCCACTCATGTCTTTCTTGAGCCACTCTGTTCCATGTGACGCCTGCCACTTGTCTTATATCGTCGTCATCGTCGTTATAGTAAACGTTGTGAACGTTGTAAACGTTTACTATAAGAAATCGGCACAAAATTCTTTGGAAAGTAAAGAATACTTGTTGCACTACCATTACCTGTTGTCGTAAGTTGTTGTACCGGGAATAGAGGGCAGCCGTCTACAGGTTGACAGGCACTCCAGTCACTCCATTCGCCAACCTCGCAGTCTCGCGGACAAGGCACCTAGTCGGAATTAATACAGACTATTAAGCCTCTTCACTTTGTGCTTTTAAAGGTACATACTAGACAGTGTATGTACATATTGAGGGGTGGTTTAAGCGAATTTTTCCTACCTTTTACAGGAGCGCCACCTAAAGCTTAAAATTTGGAAAAGATATCACAACAAAAAAAACTTCTTCAGCTATTTTAATGGGGTAAGCTTAATTGAAGTTCATTTAAAAAAAATCGAATTGTTGATGATCATCTATATATATAAAAAAGAATTGCTGTTCGTTAGTCTCGCTAAAACTCGAGAGCGGCTGGAGCGATTTGACTAATTTTGGTCTTGAATTGTTTGTGGAAGTCCAGGGAAGGTTTAAAAGGTAGATAAATATGAAAATACTCGGAATTAAATAAAAATAACAATTTTGTTTTCCCTTTGATTTGACCGTCCGTTTTTTACCCCCGTCGGACGGACTCCTTTTGTTTGTTTTAAGTTTATTTTATACAAAAGTTTAAGTCTTTTATTTATCGATTGAGGCACTACGAAGTCTGCCGGGTCAGTTAGTACCAAATAAAACGGACCTATAATTACAAAGATAAAATTAAATGTTGCTTAAATGTTGTTGCTAAATTTATTCGTATAATCTATTATATCATGTGTATGAATATGATTTTATTGTTATCGTTGTGATTAAACTATCTAATATTATATAATTTTTGATTATATAATATAAGACCGCCTATTGTACAAACGTATCTGCTTGCTGACTGTTGTTATGTGTTTTGGTGTGCAATAAAGTATGTTCTCTCTCTCTCTCTCTCTCTACTTTTATTTTAATTAAGGTTCGCTAACCTCACAAGGTTGGACTAGCGTTGGCATGAGAGCATGAGCGCATTGAGCCGGATGCAGAGCTCTTCCATCAGCTCGCACGCAAGTAGCTTCCCGCCGTTGAACCCCACCACCGCAGCTCGCTTCAGAGTCCTTGTCGTCATCTGAGTCATCATCATCATCGTCGTCGTCGTCGTCGTCGTAGTTTGCGTCATTGTCCAAATCATCATCATCATCATTGTTGACTGCGAAAATGAAACTTACGTTTAAAATTTCATAAGCCAGTATTAGCTTAGAAATTAAAATCGTGTCTAACGAAGTATATTTCTTAAAATACTATCTAAGAAGCTAATTGAAACTGTAATATAACTAGTTATTAATGGTAGTGGGGCAAGTGGAAAACTAAACCAGTACGTACCACACTATACGGTTTGAAGGATAGGACAGATGTTAACACAATGCAATTGAGATTTTCAACACATGTCTCAAAGTGAGTGTCGGTATTTAGGTTACGATATTTATGAGCACTGTTAACCCATTTACACTAAATAGGCTCTGAACTTGTTTACCCATATCTTCTTTTTTCCACCTTATCCCACTAGGTGGGGTCGGCACAGCTAATTTTTCTCTTCCATTCTCTTCTATCAGCCGTCATCACAAGAGTCACTCCTCTCTCTCTCTCTCTCTCTCTCTCCGTCTTTCACACACTCCATCCATGTCTTCTTCGGTCGACCTCTTTCCCCTCTACCTTGCACTACCATTTCCATACATCTCCTAGTCACATGCATCTTCTCTCTACGCATCACATGTCCATACCACGCTAACCGCCGCTCTTTAATTTGTTGATTACCGGGGCTACTTTCACACTTCCTCTGATATACTCATTCTTTTACTCTTTATCATATACTCAACTTGTTTACCCACATAAACAATAAAAACAAATTGAATAGTTTCTTTTTAGGTATCAAGGTGAAAAGATGATTGATTTCATGGACTTCAGCAATGCCCGGGGCAGAGCCAAGCCGCTGTCTACATTAATTGCAAGCTTAATTGCATCTATACTAATATTATAAAGAGGAAAGATTTGTTTGTTTGTTTGTTTCGAATAGGCTCCGAAACTACTGGACCGATTTGAAAAATTCTTTTTTACATTAGAAGCCGACATTGTCCCTGATGAACATAGGCAACTTTTTTTTAATTTTTATTTTTTTTATTTTTTTGGTTTCATGTGTGTTTTAATGTTTCCGAAGCGAAGCGAGGGCGGGTCGCTAGTGTTGTATAAAGTTGTCGTATAGCTTAAAGCGATGGTAGATCCTACTATACTATTAGTTGTAAATGGATTGTCTATTTATTTTACAAAGCGTTTGCGGGACATATCTAAGGTATTCCAAAGGCGTCTAGTTGAGTACGACCTGTGCAGTCTACATATGCAAAGTAATGGCATTTGGTAAAAAAAACAATGAGATTAAATAATGAGCTTTGATGGTCGGATATGATGAGTTTAAAATATTCAGTTCACCGGGAGGCAGAGGTGCCGTGGTCTCGATGGCAACACGGCATGGTCCCCAGGCGCCCGGTACCCAATGAGCACTCGCTTCCATAGCCGCTGGACGAACTTCCTCTACCACGTCGCACTCCGCACCACCACCTAGCGAAGAAATGCTTAATATATTTACACGCAAGAACCATACAAATTATGCAGTATCTAAAACAATGATTCCGCCCACTGAGTTTCTCGCCGGATCTTCTCAGTGGGTCGCGTTTCCGATCCGGTGGTAGATTCTGCGAAGCACTGCTCTTGCTAGGGTTAGTGTTAGCATCACTCCGGTTTGAGCCCCGTGAGCTTACCTACTAGTTAAGTTTACGCTGAAATAGCCTCTCAAAGCTATCAGCTTAGGAAGGAAAAAAAAGCAATGATTTTGGAGCATGCACAATACCTATTGGAAGTCGTTTCAGACGTCTAGTCCGTACAAGGGCTCCGTCTGATCTGGGCCTCCATGGAAGCCATTCTCCAAGAGCGCAGTCTACTTTCATGAGACAAATTCGCGTGGTGCCAATTTGTGCGAGAGCAGCACCGCAGTACCTATAAAATAAAATAAAGATATTAAAAGAAATAAATATTTATATCTTATCAATTACAAGATGTGATACTAGATTTATTATATATATACCCTTTTAAAGCTTACAAAAGTTTACAGGAAAATTAAACCCTTAAATGCTTAGTTGCAGAAAGCAGTTATTTTGTTTATCACTTACATAGTATAAAACAAAGTCGCTTTCTCTGTCCCTATATCTGTCTGTCCCTGTGTATGCTTAAATCTTTATAACTACGCAACTGATTTTGATGCGGTTTTTTTAATAGATAGAGTGATTGAAGAGGAAGGTTTATATGTATAATAACATCCATTAAATAGTGGAGAAATCAATAATAAATTACAGTTTCCGAAGCGAAGCGAGGGCAGGTTGCTATAAAAACGGCATATCGATGTGAGCGTCCTACATAAAAAGGTTTAAATTATGGCGTAAATCAAAATAGAAGTTTACATCGTTGGCGTCACTACGTTCAACTTCCATTGCCGCTCACAAAACCAAAATTATGTGCTAAATGGAAAAGTTTCGGAGTATTCTAAAAGCGAACGTTTTGTACTAAAGTTTGAATTAGTTTAGCATTCATGCCCTTTGCTAATTTGTGATGTGATTTGTCATTTTTACAGAATCTAATGAGGACGATGTTGGAAATAGTTTTTCTCTTTTAAAATCTTGTCTTATGTTAATTTAAGTCTAGTTTATTTGCACTGTGGATATTCGTAAAAGTTTTAAAAGGAATTCGTGGCGTTTCTATTGCAGCCTACGTATAAAGTATGCATTAAGTCAAGACGTGGGGCCATAAATCTGTCTATTTCGTCCACTAAGCCTACATTGCTGTTTCTGTTTCAATTCCAATCGAATATCTCAGGTAGGTAGGCAGTAGCAACTAACTTATATACACACACAGTTGGTAGAGTCTGGGCATCAGAAAAAAAAAAACCAACCGTTCTTTTGTTTGAATGAACTAACTAGAACATATTATAATGTACTAGCGACCCGCCCTCGCTTCGCTTCGGAAACTGTAATTTATTATTGTTTTCTCCACTATTTAATGGATGCTATTATAAATATAAACCTTCCCCTTCAGTCACTCTATCTATTAAAAAAAACCGCATCAAAATCCGTTGCGTAGTTTTAAAGATTTAAGCATACGTAGGAACAGACAGATATAGGGACAGAGAAAGCGACTTTGTTTTATACTATGTTGTGATTATATATATTTTTTTAATTGATATTGTGTGTAATTTGTAAACGTGTATTGGAAGGAAATATAGATTGGCAAATGTTTTTGAATGGAAAGATATGAAAGTTGCTACAAGTTCTTCGCCACGAGTGATATCAGATCAATATAACGATGTTTGACCCAGTTTGCGAACGAGTAGCGCTACCAGATACATATTAAAGATGGTCATGTTTGTACGTACAGATATGAGAGTCGTAGTAACGCATGAGGGGACCGAGTCGTTTTGTTTTAGTGGTGCACACATAATAATATGAATATCCGTATTAAGTATATCAAGGACGTATACTAGATACGTTTGTATCCATATCGAATTTATATTGAGCCGAAAATGAGCGTTAAAGACTACTAAGAATTTTGACAGCAAGACACCTAATCATTGTAAAATATGTCTATAACAATCACTGTTTTTTTAAATTATCTGACAAAATTTGATATCTGTGGCCTTAATATAATCTATTAAATATTGTGGTCGGTTATCGATTGAAATACGCACTTGCTCCACGGGTTAATGTACCTATACTATAACTTTGGACTACAATTTTAATATACCTGTCAATAGCCTAGTACAAAAACATAATATCAAGTCTTTGTGTCTATTTTGAATAATAATATCAAAGAGATTCTTATCCCATACTATTTATTACATCAACTATGTACTTTTTAATATCAGACAATATTTATTTACCGAATAATTGGCGCGAAATCGCTAAAAACGATGAGTAGAAAAATGAGAATGACAAGTTCCGAATTCAAATAAAATATTTTTTTGTACCAGTATTTATGGACGGACTGTGTATAATAAACAGTTCACACGTATCCTGGGAAATACAGAGCAACTAGGTTTATGTATGTAGATGAATTTGATATCCACCCCTAAAATACTGGACTAGACTGTCACAAAGCAAATGTATATTCCGGTTTGAAGAGCGGCATAGCGTTGTACTATTTTATGTTGTCTGCAAAATATATTTTTCGTACATTCTTGTCTACTGTTTATGTTTATTTCCTACTAGGGATCCACCCTCGCTTCGCTTCGGAAACATTAAATTTTATTAATGATAGCTGAGTCCCGCGATGTAGCCCGCGGTTATTGTCGTACCGCGGGTGACGCCGCGAGGTGAAGCTAGCCTAAAAGAAGTAGCCTAAGTTACTCTTTATACCATCAGCTATCTATCAGTGAAAGCCCCGTCAAAATCGGTCCAGCCGTTCCAGAGATTAGCCGGAACAAACAGACAGACAGACAGACAAAAATTGTAAAAAATGTTATTTTGGTGTATGTACCGTATATATATTCATATAAATGTAGTAAAAAGTGGTAATTTCAATATTACAAACATACACTCCAATTTTATTTATATGTATAGATTGGAAAATAAATAGAAATGAAATTTATTTCGCTAGACCATCTCATCGCCCATCGGGTATTATGTGGATATTTGTGATTACAAAGGGATACAACGTGAATACTGCCACGGTAGCCTTAAGGTATTGACTTAAAGTCTCGATTGCATTGGAATGACTGCTATGAGCTTCTTCTTCTTTGTTTCCATTTACTTCTGTCCCGTGCCGGTCTAATAGATCGTTCTAGAGTTCCTCTTGTTTTCTTTACAATACTTTTATAGCATCATGTTAGATTTCGACTTTTACGACGCTTCCCCTGTACCTGTTCTACGATCTACTGTTTCTCCAAGTCATGCCATTAAAGAGGCGACGCGATTTCGTGGCGGAAATGGTGTGGCGGATAATACCAGTGAGGGTTTTCTCTCACTTAACCCCAGATTGGCTGTGAGTTCGTCCACCCATCTATGCAATAAAAAAAAAAAAAACTTAAGTAAACTCCTTTATTAAAACAGATTTATAAAATGTTTCTTTTTTGTCCTCTTGTACGTACCGCTAGCTTGATGGTGAGTGTTTAGTGTCGCTTACACAAGTCAGTAATCACAGGGGCAGAGCTAAGCCGCTTCCTACCGCTGACTACTCTCCGTAAGATATCCAAAGTCGGATAGTACGGGGCAGAAAAGATCTCTGTAGTGCTAGGTAGTATAAATGAACATTGTTCCCGTAGCGGGCGGTGCGATGAAAGTTCTGTTCTTATTTTATTAAAATTTACATAGAATAGCAGGCTATTTTAGTAGTGTGTTAACAACCACCTGATGGTGAGTGATTAGCGTCGCTCATAGAAGTCAATAACCTCAGGGGTAGAGCTAAGCCGCTACCTACCGCTGACTACGCTCCATAAGCTATGCAAAGTCAGATGATACGTGGAATATATCTCTGTAGTTCGAGGTAGTATTTATAAATGAACACTGCTCCGGTAGCGGGCGGTGCGATGCGAGTTTTGTATGTATTATTATTTAAATCTACATAAAATAGCAAGTTATTTTAGTATATTTTAGTAGGGTGTTAATAAATGTTGTTGCTTACATGTTTTCGACAAACTTGCCATCCTTGTAACGGCACTGAACTTGGCGACGTTGTATACCCAATGAAGGCGTGTGAACCAAAGAGTTGGCTTCCGGTCTTAGATATCTGGTGAGCATTAAAATATTTATAATTAAGTTTTAAATTAAATCATCTAGATTAATAGTGACTAAAATTAGCAAACGTTGCGACAGGGCTCTGAAACTGCAATACTTTAAGACAAATATTTTTTTGTATGGAAACTATCGACATCTTGTAGCGGATGCCCCTAAACTTATATGTTGTTAAAGTTAAGGCATTTAATTATTGTAAAAATTAAACACAGAAAAAAAAAAAAATTTAACATTTAAGTATTTATTTGTTACAGAGAAATTGATTAAATTTTATCAATTTATGGTGTCTGAAAATTTACAAAATCCTTCATTAAAAATAAAATATAAGATAGTTAATATGTTACTACCATCTACAGGAGCAATGAGAAAACTAATCGAAGTGAAACCATCTAGTGGCCGACGCCCGTAAACATTTTTGTTGAGCGCTTGAGTTGCTTATCTATAACTAATTTATGTGTATTATCTATGCATCAATGTGTGATTGGAATACTTTTTATTAGGTATGTAGATCATTGGCACGATTTTAAAGTAATAGAGAAATACATAAAATACGAATTACCAGACATAATAAATAAAACTTATTTAAGGTTAATAAATGCTATACAAAAATATAACTTAGCGAATTAATATAAATAAGAAACATACAATAAATAAGTCCTCACAGCGTCAGTGGAGCGAAAGTTTCATTTGCGGTCCGAACTATTCAGACCGTACCGGGGGAAGTGAAAAGTTTTACCTTTCAACGGTCCTCGTGGCGTGCTCCCCCTGCCCCATGAGTTTGCATTCAGCCCAGGGGCCCACGTACGCGGAGTATTCACCATCATTCACAACGGACTCTGTAACAATGGATTAGCATTACAATGTGCGCTTTTATGATTGCGCTTGTGGTAGATTTCATTTGAAAGTCGTATTTGATTTGGTATAATATTGGAGTTGTTTGTATTAAAGTCAATGAATAGCCCGAGGAAATTTCAAACGATCGTTTAATATTAATCAAAATTTTTGAAGTAAAGGTAGCTTCGTATGTTCCTAAAATTGAATTTCGTTACATAGAAGACTTTATATTTTGTATTATTATTAAATATTATACAGATTGTTTGTTGTATTTCAAGTGACTCATTGCATTGTTTTTAAAAGTTAACAAAATGATTGCCAGGGTATTATTACTTTCAAGGATTCCTGTCCAAGAAGCCATTATACCTTAATCATCTTATATTATTAAAAACATTTATTATATGTACATATTCAGCAATTATGTGTTTTGCTCATACCTATTTGGATTAACTGTGAATTTTTATTTTCCTATTGGCACACTTTTAATCATTCACATATTTATTTTACTTTGTCGTAATTATACAAAACTGGTGTGTAAAGAAGCTGAGTGATAAGTCGTATTTGGCATCCCGCAATGGGATAAAGCCTAAGAGTTATCTTGTGGCTGGTGGCCAGTGTGTAAAATAATGTTGAATCTACATAGTAAGTATTTATTAAACAACAATATTCATTTAATAAACAAATTTGTGTAGATTCGACGAAGAGCTATCGATACACATGGTGTTTAGTAGCTACTGAAGTTTATAGGGATGTTGCCAATAACCTTGACATATGAGATATAATTTTTTTTGTAAGGTTCCATCCACCCTTTAAACCCGAACGCAATATTGTTTCGCGGCAGAAATGGGCAAGCCGGTGATACAATTACGTGCCCACATTGCACTCCACCAATAACACAATAATGAATTTACTAAATATACGGATACAAAGTTATTAACAAAAGTGCAATTGACCAAATCGATTGAGATGTTTCGACTGAACAATTTCTTATATTATTACATAGAAATCGAACTCAATATGAACGTTAAAACTTTCATCCGCTATTCGATTTCGTGTTGGGAAATTGCATCCATCGACGCTAAGTTAATTTTCTTTAGAGCCGGGAAACTTTTACATCACACCCAATCTGCGCTTTAGAACGTAAATTGAATAAGCGGAACAAGTTGAAAGCTGCCAGAATGAAAGTTTCAGTGAGAACATATTTTTGGCTATTTTCGCGTGGCTATTTCATCGAGGGCGTGCCTTAACCTAATAACTGTTGCTTTACATTTGGAAAATAATAACATAAAGTTTACATTAAAATTTGAAAAACCTTTTTATGTTTTTAAAACAATAATAAGTGTTGAGTTTATATTATAGTTATAAAAAAGATACATCCTCTGTAATTTCCGATATGTTAATGTCTTTTTTTGGAAGCATGTAAACTAATGTAAACCACTATATGTAATGACGGAACGTTATTTGATTGAATCATTGACTTTATAGTAAGCTTTATTGAACAGATGTTCTTTAATAGTTTTCTTAAACCTATGTATATATAGGTTCTGAACATCTTGTGGGATTTTGTTGTACAGGCGCGCAGACAAACACCCGAATGAGTTTCGTATCTTATGTAACCTACTCATCGGCACAACAAGCTTGTGTTTGTTCCTAGTATTTCTATTATGTATGTCCGACTTTTTAGGAAACTCCTCAATATGTTTACGAACATACATCAAATTTTCAAAAATGTACTGGGATGGCATAGTGAGAACTTTAATTTCTTTAAATTTCTCCCTCAGGGATTCCCTTGAGTGCATATCTGAAGGTGGGTGGCACTTTTACGTTGTAGATGCCTATGGGTTCCAGTAGCCACTTAACACCAGGTGGGCTGTGATATTTTTCACCCATCTAAGCAATAAATAAATAAAAAGTTAAGGGATTTTTTTTTAAGACAGCCCACATTTTATGTGAACTGTTTGTTCTGAACAAAATAATTAAAATTAATACTAATAAGTAAACCAAAGACTTTATGCAAGTGTATTGTTCAATATTTAATCATTATAAAATATCAAACAATACACTCATTCAGACAAACAAAAATAAATATGAAGTTTTTGTTTTTAAATTTAAACCTTTGTTTAATCGATTTATTGTATGGTTGCAAAGAAAACAGCTAGGAATTCTTGCTTAACAAGGTTAGGTTGTACCGCCCGGCAGAATACACTCTAATTAATTAGAAGCTCCGCAGGCTATATCGAGTTATCTTTAAAGAGCCCTCAATTTGTTTACCGCTCGAACGATGGAGGTATCTAATTGTAAAAGAAATTTGTCTCCGTGAAAAACAATTATTTATTGTATTGGGAAATCGCGAAAACGGCAGTGATAAATGACGGTAATTTAAACGTTTTACTAGTAAATAAAAGTTAATTTAGTTGGGCAGGATTAAATCACGGTCGATCTGATGTTAAGTGATTAACTGTTGTTATAGACAACACACAGGCTGCCGCTGTCTTTGAGCCCTACCGTCGCAATCATTAACTAATATAGTATGTATATTATTATATATGTGATATGTAATATTATAAATGTAAAATATTAAATACTAGCGACCCGCCCTCGCTTCGCTTCGGAAACATTAAAACACACATGAAACCAAAAAATAAAAATAAAAAAATAATAAAAAAAGTAGCCTATGTTCATCAGGGACAATGTCGGCTTCTAATGGAAAAAGAATTTTTCAAATCGGTCCAGTAGTTTCGGAGCCTATTCGAAACAAACAAACAAACAAATCTTTCCTCTTTATAATATTAGTATAGATGTAACTACATACATATGTCGGCACTATTAACAGTCTAAAGCCCATCGAAAACGGTAGACGCTACAGGGTTCGACTTTGAAAAGACGCAAGAAGTCTTGAACGATTTAAATATAATATTTAAGCATACTAGCGGACCCGACATACGTTGTCCTGTGAATACATACACAAAAATTCATTCAAATCGGTCCAGCCGTTTAGGAGTTTAGTGACGTACAGTCGTACGTGTGACTTGAAGTATAAAAATGAATATATTAATTAATTAATACGTGAAGCAAAAACTTTGTATCCCTTTTTACGAAAATTTCGTGGACGGAGGAGTATGAAATTTTCCACACTTATAGCGAATATAGAGAAGAAGTGCACAATGTTAATATTTTTTTTAAATTATAAATTATTAATAAAAGATACATTAAATCAACAAAGAAAACATTACACACACTACATACCATGTATTTGACGCACACACGTATGCATACTATTTATTGTCAAACTTTTGTTCTTGACGTCTGTGGTCAAATTGAGAATAGATTAAATATTGTTTGTCTTTGTTAATTTTTTTATAGTGTAGTCTTGGTGAAATTTGTGATTATAGAAGTATAAAATACAATCATAATAGTGTACAAACTTACAATTCCAATTAATTATAGTCGAATTTCGACTACTGCGGGACCTCTAGTATTAATTAATAAACAAGTAGAACCAGTTTCCGAAGAAATTTGAAAAATTGAAGCAAAAAATTAAAAATAAAGAAGATGTAATTAAGGAAATTTAAACAAACCCAACGACTGTTTGAATTATGTTCTTTCTGTTTGTTTGTTCGCATAATATAAAAAAAGTAATTTTGTACTGCATGATATTAGCAGCTACCATTGCAAACGGTACTATTAATACGAAGGTAGCTTTGCTTGTCACATCTTTACGCTCAAATCACTGAACGGATTTTGACGAAATTATTTTTTATTCCTACCTATGCTGATATTCTTGAGAGGCTATTTCAGCTTCGTCCTAGCATGTGGGTGAGCTCACGGGGCTCAAACCAGAGTAATGTTAACACTGACCCTAGCAAGAGCAGTGCTTCGCAGAATCTACCACCGGACCAAAAACGCGACCCACTGAGAAGATCCGGCGAGAAACTCAGTGGGCTGTGTCTGTGGGTTAATTCGCTCGTCGAGCCCTTCGTCGTAAGCGACGGGTTCGACGAGGACGGTGACCGTTGCTTGTGGTACCTAAAAGCACCGTTAATGGATCGGGAGGATCCGTAATAACGTGACGAAATTAGGAAGACCCTCGAAATATTTATATTTTACCCCACTCCTGAGGACGGCCCATGTTATATAAAGTGTTGTCCACGCGGATGAAGAAGAAGCAGCCGGAAAGCCAGACGTAATATAATTGGAATTGTTTGAGATGATTCCATCATCTCATTTTTACCATCGCACGGCCCGCCACCGGCTTAGAGTTCATCCATACTACCTGGAGCCACTGCGTACATCCTTAATGCGTTTCCAGAGATATTTTTTGCCACGTGCGTGCGCTATGACATGTTCTTCTTCAAACGAGGCTTGTGGACAGTACTTCACTGTAGGCAGCGGCTTGGCTCTGCCCCTGGCATTGCTGAAGTCCATGGGCGACAGTAACCACTCACCATCAGGTGGGCCGTATGATCGTCTGCCTACAAGGGCAATAGAAAAAAAAATGACCGACCTATCCTAGAAAGTCGGAACGCATAATTGCTGTGTGACAGAATTGGTCTGTTCAGTTATAACACCATGGCTTCCAATATACTCAACAGATCCACCCTCCGTAAATAAGATGGCGTCGCGTTTTAATCAACGAAGCTTTAGTAATAAATAAAATATAAAAAATATCTTGTTCGAGGAAATAATTATAATCGGCTTATAAATTTGAAATAAATTGGTTCTTTATATTTTCGATGGCACTTGAGATTTTTTTCTTTAGTGAGGTAATAACGATTTCATTTGGTTGTATTGATTGCATCGCATTGAATTGTTATCCACGAGACTCGGTAGCTGCGTGTGAGATCAGGAATAACGCATTCATAGTTTTGTAACATAACAGTTTCGTATATATTATTATTTCATTATTATTTTTTTAATTGTATTTTTTGACTTGTTTTTTCTTTTATTGTAAATATTTTCATTTATTTAAAAAAAAGAAAATATTTGTGAAAAAACAAAAAAA